CCCAATAAAATTTTAGAGAAAACTGTTATTTCAGTCTTTTTTTCGAACTTTTGTGTTAGTGGTTCAAATGTCAAAAATCCCTTTATTAGGAAAATGGCAAATTTCTTTATTAATGCAAAGGTGACTTGGTTTATCGTTACTGTGACAAACGAAAACACTTTATTTGATGAATCCTTAAAGAAAATTTTAATTAATATCAATCAGGAGAAAAGTTATTGCAAAAATATATGTTGATCCCTAGTCACTTTTGATGTGTGTATCTCACAAAGGAATAAGGTTACTAAACTTAACTTTAATAGTAAAACGTACATTGAAATGTGCACTGCAAATGTGTACGTGAACTGCCCAAAACCGCTCTATTGGATTTTTCATACCTGCGCAATTTATAACTTGAAAACGGTAAGTAATACAAAAAAATTGTATATACAAAAGTTGTTGGTAATTATGTACGAAACAACTTTGCCATTTAAAGTTTTCCATTAAAATGATATTTTCAGGGTGAAAAAACACTTTTTTTGAGACTTTAGCGCCACCTACAATGCGCATTTTTTGTTTTACAAGATTGCAACAATGACATAAATTGTAGCACTCAACGCCCTCTACAATTATGGTCGAAAAAAAAGTTTCTAAAATGCATACAAAACAAGAAAAATGCGTTTCAAAAAATTTTTGACGGTTTTTTTGAGTTTTTCAAAAAACGCCTACGAGTTGAATATGCCCATCGCCAAGGTGGCTTACTGACGTCATTTGGCAACAGAAAAAACAAGACACCCTTTAGGTTTTTTTTTCACTGAAACGATATTTTTTTCGACAGATTGACTGTACTATACTTCTTTTACAAACGATTGTTGCCGTGAAAATAATACGTATTAAAAAATAAAAATAAGGAAGGACAAGGGAAATTTATCTACGGCCACCATGTAAGTTGGGTTAACATCGAGGGTTAAAGGAGATTTCCTTATTATGGATATCTTAAGCCAACGACTGGAAAAGGTTCAGAAGGAAGGAAATAACTTTGACCAACTTTCAGTCATATTTATCGATGCGGTAATGCAAGGTAGTATCTAGTTTATTACCTTATGTACAGAGAGTACCAATATTTCATTTCTTCGAAAGAGAACAGAATGTTTTGTTAGACATGCTAGAATCCCTAAACCTTAATAAAATTCAGCAGTTAACTTGCCAGCAGCAATTCATTTTCTGTGTTCAGAGATAAACCGGAACATTTATTATTCATCATAGATATAATAAGCTGTGAAAGTAAATTATTGCTTGGAGATAATACAATTTTATCTAAGTACCTACGAGGAAAATCTGTTCTTGTTAATGTTGCCCTCAAAGTAACATGTTTTAGGAATAGCCCACGCACTGGAACACATGCTTGAAATTGTGTTTGTCTCACAATTTAAGAAGGGTCAGGTAACCTTTGGAGGTTTGTTAGTACCTACCAAAGTTTATATGTCATTGTTTCATCAGTCTTGGTACTCTGTAGAACGAAGTTCAACGCTGAGGCATCGATATTATGGCAATCGCCAAACTTCAATTGGTGTTTTGGCATCGTCAGGATTTTTTTTTTAATTCAGTCAAAACAAATCTTTGGATTTGCTGCGAAAGTAAACACCTATCTATCTCCTCATGATTCACATGTGAATCTTGCATCGTAAATAGTAAAATAGGCTTTGAACTTTTAATCTCTTTTCGAATAAAGTTCATGCTAGATTTGAGGGTAACCTAGGAACCATATAACTAATATGGTAATTGTAGTTTAGTAATTAGAAGGACATTTTATATAAATTTGTTATCTATATATATGAAACTCAAAGGTGACTGACTGACAAAGTGATCTATCAACGCCCAGCCCAAACCACTGGACGGATCGGGCTGAAATTTGACATGCAGGTAGATGTTATGCCGTAGGCATCCGCTAAGAAAGGATTTTGATCAATTCTACTCCCAAGGGGATATAATAGGGAATGAAAGTTTGTATAAAACTTTGTCAATTTTAAACCGATCGGGCTAAGCCTTTGCATGCAGGTATAAGAAGAATCATAGATGAATATCATTGTGTATAATACAAGCCTGAGAACAAAAACTGCTGCAACACTTCAGCTCTACACCGAAGCGAAGCGAGGGCGGGCCGCTAGTATACACATATATCTCTAATATTTTTTTAGTTATTTTAAGGTGTTAAGTGTTTTGCTTTTTCACAATATCAAATTTAACTGGGCAGTTGCCGTCCAGAATAACTTTGTAACATTAAGTATTTTGAAATTCTATACCTAAGTTTATAAGCTGAACACTGGATGAATTCGTTCATACATTCTTCCATCATAATGTCATATTCAGTTTTTGTATTCATCATTTGTAGTAAATCATCAGGCAGCGGTCTCACATCTGCTTGAACACTTTCATCATAAAGTATATCAACATGTCCATCGACAATCACTATTAACACAATTACTGAAAATTTTATTAAAAAGATATAGTTTCCAAATATCATTACTGAGAACTCTAAGGTATCGATACAATACATTACTTTCAAGTCACCTGATAGAATGACTTTTTTTGCTTTGTGCATCATAACGAAATTTTCGCAAAGTATTCAATAATTCACAGAAGTTGCACTGTTTCGTGGCATCATGGTTTTCCGTATTAACTATTTAGTTGTGTTTTTATCAAATGAACTGTTTTTATTTCCCTGAATGAAAGGAATTATTTACTGGAAAAAACCGGAATATTAATCTCGGTAAAAAGAAATCAATTATTCGCTGAATGAAAGCTGTTTACAGCTCCAAATGGCAATCTTAAACACTAATTAAATTAAGTTCTGATAAACAAATTTCTTAATGGTTATTTCAAAGCTATTTAAGGAAAACATCACTGGTTTTTAAAAACACAAAAATATTATGCTTCTCCAATTGGAATATTGGCAATAGAGAAATATTTTCACTTAATTTTATTTCAAGTAAAATAAATTACGCATGTTGTACATGTACATACACATTTGTAATGTTAAATGAAATTATTAAAAAACAATCTTACGTACGTTAATTAACTGTGTCTAGTCTTAACGTCATACAATTATTGAACTGTGAAATTGATTAAAATTCAATATTTTACATACCTAGTAGTTTTTCATTTCCCTACACGATAGAATTAGAAATGAAAATCCGTAGAAGCACTCAAGTAAGCGACGTTGCTCGCAGGTATATAAGCAATTAAAAAGGTAAGCATTATAAATTTAAAAGAAAATCATAATGCATTTCTTTTTTTATGGTTAAAGCCCACGCCGGATATTCGATTCTTTAATACGTGTAAAAATGAAATGCTTCTGTTTAAAATTAGTTTTTTTTTTAATAACCTTTTATGCTGCATTTAGGAGATCTACAGAATTCAGCAGCATAAATGAGAATTTGATTCATCAATAGTAGGCACCGGAGATTTCTTCTGCGTGGAAAAATTGGGTCCCATTCCAACTACCACCCCCTTTTCATCCACCTAAAGGACAATGTTCAGGACAAAAGCTATTTTATGACCTTCTTATATAAACTATTAATATGCCGAATTATATATTTATCATTTTGCATGAAACCCTTTCAATAATGAACACGAGGCAGGGAACGAGGAACAGCATTAGTGGAGTTGAGAATAATAATATCAAAAAAATAATATCATCAAAGAAGAGTTAAGCTGGGTAGAGCGGAGCGTTGTTATGCTGAGCGAGGCGGAGCAGTGCGGCGCTAGACGGAGTTGAGTCGAGCGGAGTGCTCTACGGCTCTGCACGGATCCACGGATCCATATTTACACGGCTCCGCTTTCCGCACAGCATAGCTCCGCTCTTCCGGAAATATGTAGATATCTGGCATTATTTTGGCCACAAACCCAAAAAATCATATCCCGCTTAGTTTCTAAATGTTTTGAGCTATCGTGCATATTTATATATGCTTATAAATTCAATTTTAAATTAACTGCACCCATTTATATTATGCTAAATATGTATGAACTATGTAATGAGAAGGCATACAACATAGTACATAACAGCATCCGTAAATAATGCTCAATTTTGTGTCCATGATTGTATCAAACAATAAGAGTTAATAAGAGATGTTAAATAAGGAATCTTCAGTTCCGGGCGAGGCAGAATATTACAGAAACAATAAAATAATGTAGGTTATATTTGAATATTTTTTTTTAGTATTATATCTCATCCTGGCGATGGATCCAATTGACCAACAATTAGACTTGGTTACCAAAATCAACATTAATCCGAGCGAAGCCGCGGGCAAAACCTAGTATTTATATAAATTTTGGAAAGCTTGAGGATGCAACAGTGTTTTCGGGGTGCGATTTTGTAATGGCCGGTCAATGGATATGTAAACAAAGTGAAACGAAATATCATTAAGGTTGAAAGTAAAACCTTTTTGATGCTTCAGAAGTTTCGTCGAGTCGTCTGCACTTGCAGTCGTTACCAGCCACTAATCCACACTGGGCCCGCGTGACTCGTTTGACCTACGCAGATAACTTCGTGTGCACCTCGGGTTATGCTTCCATGAGGAGCAGTTATGCTAACACGTTTGGTCAGCAATCGTGAATGATCAACAACTTTCGTAATGGCCTGTCACAAAATAGATGACCAGAGATTCAATATCTTGCGAACAATCGGTAGCACCTACTAATCTGCTCTGAATTCTCTGGAATCCAATTTAAATTATGGGTCTTTCTACGGCCTATTTCCCCTATTACATTCATAGGGTAGTCATGGGCTCCAGCTTTGGGATATAAATCGGCTGATGAGCATAATAGTGCATCGTTAGGTATTAATAAATTCATTTTTATTCATATCTTTATTAAATAAAAAAAATCCTATTTCTAGAATAACTTACAGCTTAGTTTTAGACATATTTTAGAATAGAGTACTTTACATTTCGGGCTCAAGAAAACGTAAAGTACTGTATCGTTGTTCGATTTCTTAAAATCTATACTAGAGAAACAATTTTTGTATTCGAATACCATTATAAATATACAACATCATCAACAAATAGGGATAGCGATGAAACTTATTACACGGATTATTTTAAATCATAACATTATTTAAACAAAACTAAAGCAGTCACAGAACAAATTGACACTGAAGTCAGTTCAGAAGTTGTGCATCTCCACACTGCTCGTCTCTTGCTATTTGAAGCAAGTCTTTAGTCAGAAAATCTGTGAGCACTGCGAGGTCTTCGTGTTCGCTGACACCGTGTGCTCCAACTGCGCCAGGGCCGTCAGTTCTGTTTCCATTTTCCTGCTCTTTACCCTAGTGTTGTTCTTAATGTCGCTGGGCTTTTGACAGCAGCACAGTATCTCTTCGAACTCTTTTCTGAAGTTGTCGTTCAACCAACCGTAGAGGAGAGGATTCGACACAGCGCTGGACATGCCGAACATGTGACAAACCGCGTAAGTTATTGTCATCGTTTTCTCGTCCATAAAGGGTTCTGGACTAAAATCTGCCACTAAATTGAATACGTTCAGTGGCATCCAACTGATGACGTACGTGGCAGCGATCGCTATCAGTATCGCTGGTGTTTTCCTGGTCGTCCTTCTCCGACCACGGAGTCTCCTATGGATCTGGACATGGGCTATTATAACTACTAAAACTGGCACTACGTACTGGAAAATTAAGCTAAACAGCGAGTATATGGCCCGTCCGTTCCTGATGGGCCAGTCTTCAATGCAGAAACTGAGGGAGTCCATCCCTATTAAACCTAATTTATGAGTTTTCAGACTTCTGAATATGTACAGTGGGGAAGCGAGGGTGAATGCTGTCAGCCATATGAAGAACATGGTGATGAGTGCCCCCATCGTTTGAAGACCAGGCCGCGTCGGATACACGATCAGCTGTGGACAAAGAAAAGACATAATTTTATTATACTTTGAAGAGTGGAATGAAAGAACTGCTAATTTGTAAGTTGAGTAGATCTAAAAAATATTTTGGGAATAATAATGATAAGTTCCTAGCTTATCGCTTAAAACTATTCACCAATAACCCTGTCCGAACAGCACTATCTTGACTGAAAATTTCATTGTAATTTAGCAGCTGGCGATTCTACGTGTTTCTTTCGCTCCCAGTTTGGAATGGATGGGAGACGAGTAAGTAATATGTAGGATTGAACAACAACATATATATTACATTATTTTCAAAGTGAGTGACACATCTGTTAGGAGAATCAGAAACATCAGAGGTGCTTGTGGAATCTTCAAGACATCATGTAATTTAGTGTTTAACTTTGTTCCGACCTAGATCAGACATGGAAACTCAGAGATGGCGACACTATGTAATCCTGTTTCTACTAATTAAGCGAAGTTGTTTAATAAATCACTCAGAAGTATGAAACTAAGCAAAGTTAGTGCTGTGGATTAACGTATATACTTGTTAGGTTCAAAAACAGGTAATCCATCCATGAATTGGAAATACATTTAAGATGGTTAAACAAATAAAAAGCTCCTACCAGGATACATACCCAGTACCTTTGGAACTGTAAAGAGGAGCGTTGCATTTGCACTAACCAACCATCGAACAAAAAAATTGTAAAGATTTTGTTTTTGGAGAACATAAAAACTGGAATGGCTGCCATTTCTCATTGGTACGGGAAAAATTACAATAAATGGATGCGATAAAATAAAATTGATCACATTGAAGGCTTCGACGTTGGTGATCGAGCATACTGTATAAAGTTGATTGTAATCTCACATAATATTATTCTTTTGAGAGTAACAGTAGCACTTAAGTGGAAATTACTAACAAAAGGAAAATAAATTGGATATTTTTTATTAAAGTATTCACATTTCGGATCCCTTCAACTTTTACATTGGGCCTCCTTTTAGGGATCCGTGGTTACAAGAAATATTTTGGTCATATCTTTGTCTATTATCATTATAATTATGTAGCTGTAAAACTAGCAGTTTTATGTCTTAATAAAATGTAAATATTTTTGACTTGGCAGGTTATTACCAATATCTCAGTCTTATGACTGTGGAGGTTAAATAAGAACTTAAACATCAAGACTATATATTCGTAAAAATATAAGAAGAATCAAATATGATTGATTACTCGTATTATTTAAGTGTTGAAAAAATATTGAGCTTTCTGGCAAAGGAAACACTAAGCACTTTACCAAAACCACAGGAAAATAACACTGCCTTTTGTGGGTAGAGGATACAGATCTAGATAGAAGGAGACGCTTCATGTACTTCAAATTGTACGGAAACGAGTGTCAGATTTTGAGTACCCACGATAACAAATTGGTGGTCAAAAAACATAAGCCTCGGCCACCTAATTCAATTTGATTGATTTTACAGCTTAATATGACATAGTTAGATATTATATAGACAGAGGTGTCGATTCTGGCGTGATTCTCTAAACTTAAAACTAAATTTAACATCATTCTTTCCCTTTCATTCTGTATAGAAAATGACAAAGATGCACTGTTGTCAAATTTAAGTTTAGCTTTAGAGAATCATGTCAGAATCGACATCATTACCTTTAACAACGGGTATCAAGACCGATGACGCGAAGAATTGAATAAGTGTTAAAAGAAGACCATTGGTCTCGATCTATGTCTGTGGTAGTGGATCAGATCAGCAAGTTGAGAATTTTATTATGGTGAATATTTTAAAGAGCAGAACAATTTTATACCATTGCAGCTATTTTAGTAACGGGTCTCCACTTACAATTAATATCAGGTAGGGTGGAAAAATTTGCTGTACCTTGTATCAAATAGCTAATCTATACATAAAAATATAACTTGGCAACATTGAAATTATTCTGAGTTCCAGCTTTATTAGTTGTTTAGGATTTCTGAGTGGGAAGCTTATATATTTCGACGTCCCTACCTCGTTTGTTACTTAAGAAAAGTATACATTCTTCATTGTTCAAGTTGTCGCAATCCATGTAGGCGAGAAAAAGTTTTATCTTTCACAAAGGAAAAAAAAAATGAAACGGGAAAACGGATGAGGCATAATCTTTGACTCCAGCGGAGCGACGGAACATTTTTTTCTCGTTGGAACTTTAGATATTCTTATAATTTGATGTTGCAATATAAAGCCTTTCCCCCAGGCGCGTTATTATCGGTTGACAATATCTGATGCGTTATTGCGATATGTGTTTTTAGTACCTACCTACATTATGTATTAGAACGGTTACAAAAGGAAATTGCTTAGCTTCCATACATGTTTGGCCCAAAGACCAATAATCATGAAAAATTGTTTCCTAAATTCGAAATTATATATAAATTACTGTAGAAACGAACATTATTGACGGACACCCCTGAGAACTTCTTAAAACCATGTACACTGAACGATTTTGAGGTCGTTTGCAAATAGGTACATAGGTATTAAAATAATAAAAAGCAAATAAGTTATATACTAAACTAGGGAAATCAAGCCAAGTACCGAAATTATGTATTACATTCAGGTATATAGAGCATGTAGATTAACAGATAGTTGCCTGTTTTTAAAGTTATTGCACAAGAGTAACTTTTAAAATCAAGTATCATCTATGCATTTCCGGTTATAATGAGGAAGGTAATCTGTGACAGAAACTGTGTGATGATTGTGAATAAACCACAGAGACATTAGAGAGAAATTTTAAACTCTCGAACCAAAGAAAGCTAAGAGATTTAGGTTATACAGCCATATCTTCAGTAGCTTAATTATTTTTGTTATGTTTACATTATAACCATATTTTCAAATTTTTAGTGTATCACACCTTATAATGTGTTTGGCGAAAAATGTATGGCAATAGACTTTATGATGTCGCCTACCATCTATAATAATTGTCTTAGCACATTTGCATGTAGCGAAAATGATAATATAGTTGTAGATATTAATAACACATTGATGTCGATTCTGGCATGATTCTCTAAAGCTAAACTTAAATTTGACAACTTCCTTGTCCTTCTCTTTACAGAATGAAAAGGTGAGACTGACCTTAAATTTAGTTTTAAGTTTAGAGAATCACGTCAGAATTAATACCAGTGTAATAAAAAAAAGTTTTATTTTATCGATCTTTACAAAATAGATTTGATTTTATGTTATATAAACAAGTTCAATCAATCTTTGGCTGACTATTACTACACCCGAAGCCATTAAAAATGATTCGTATGTTTTTCAAACCGGTAAAATTAAAAGTCCCTTTTAAAACGAATATATTATACAAAGCTGTCCGTTAAAATCTAATGACTGTAAAATAAAGTATAAATTACGCCAAGAATTACCGTATATATCAATATTTTTTGTTCATTTGGGCCAATTTGAGCAATCTCCTTTCACACTGGTGCAATAACACCGACGCAATAGGAGAGCGCATTATTGCAATAAAGTTGAGACCTTTTTCGATATCAGAATTTGATTGTGTCAGGCAATTCTACAAAATAAAATCTCACTTCTGCAGCTACTCCTCTACGGACTCCTGTACCATTTGGCAGTAACATTAATTTTACTATAAGTTTTCAGATTGTTAGAAATTATTTCCACGAAAAGGTTTTTATGTATCTTATTTGCTTTGCTTCAAACCCGCTGTTGACTATGAAACTAAAAAACTGAACTTTCTAGCGGGTCAAGTTAATTATTTGATATAAATAAATCTGTTTTGGAACTTTTGATTTTTATCATGGTGGACTGGGAGTTGAAACACTACCCCGTAGACCATGAAAGGGATATATATAACTCGTTTGGATTTTTTAGCAAACCCATTTTTAATATCTCTTATCTATTAGACAAGTCCGTCTGTCTGTGGTACTGTTTCAGCGGCCAAGCCGTAAGAGATAGATAAAGAGAATGTTTAAGTTATAAGTTAAGAATAGTCTGATAAGACTACAAACCGGATTTGAGTAACGTAGCACTTCCGGTTTTCGAGAAATCACGAATTTCAAACGAAACCACACAAAATCTCAATCATATTAAATACATTTTTTTTTTTAAATCAGGTTTTGGTGAACATTTGGTTCAGTGGTTTGCTAGTTTTAACTATTACGGTTATTAAGATACACTGAACAGACGGACTGAAGAACTCCGGAGGCTCAGTAAAAGTCTTATTCTGTCACCATTTGTGTATGGTACTACAGATAAAGATTTCACCGTATACATAAATTGGATTAATGAAATATCACTACTCATAATGAGTCAAATAACTTCGACTTACATAAAATTTATGAAACGTCAAAGTTGGTTAATATTAAATGTTTCAATGTTTTATAGGCAATGCGATATCGACTTTATTAAGTGGTGTTATCAGTCCTGTAGTGCCTTGGTGCTTGGCTTATTAATCTTTAGTGATAAACTGATAAATTATGGACTGTTTCACTATCGGTTGGTTTTGCAGGGGTAAATACCCTCCGTTTTGTCACTGACAAGTTACAAAACGGGGGGGGGGGGGGGGTATTTACCCCGGGCGGCTTTGGTACCAAATGCTCTAAGATTAGCGTTGGACTTTGAATTTAGTACGCTATTTGATGACGCAGGTGGTTAGCGCGTTCGGCTGCGTTGAAGTTAAGCAACTTTCGCAGTGGTCAGTCATTAGATGAGTGACCATAAATCTTCTATCTCGAGTTCCTCCGTGCTTCAGAAGGCACGTTAAGCCATTGGTCCCGGCTGCATCTGTAGTCGTTAGCACCCGCCAATCCGTACTGGGCCCGAGTATCGAGTCATGGCCCAATCTCCTGGACATTTATAGGATGATGGTGATGATGACGCGCCTTCAGCTGCACAAATTTTCATTTTCTGAAACCACTTTTCGTGTCTCAGGTTCTCACCAGTCAAGCTATCGGTTCCAACGTCTATAAAATGAACCAAAAATTAACTTAAAATAAAAAAATAATTATTAATTATTTTAATTATTA